ATAGCCAAGACATGGGAACAACCTAACTGTTAACTAATGAAATGAATGGATAAATAAGATGTGTTATATATACACAATGGAATACTATTTGGCTATAAAAAAAAGGAAATCCTGTCATTTGTGATAAACATGGATGAAACTTGAGGACATTATGCTAACCACAAGTCAGATGGAGAAAGATACTCTATGATAATATCACCTATATGTGGAATCTAAAAAAAAAATCTAAACTTGTAGAAACAAAGAACAGATTGATGGTTGCCAACAGCAGGGTGGGGAGTGGGTGAAATGAGGGAAGGTGGCTAAAAGATATAAACTTTCAGTTATAAGATAAGTAATTTTTGGGGATCTAATGTACAGCATAGTGACTGTAGTTAGCAATACTATATTGTATATTTGAAAGTTGCTAAGAGAATAGATTTTGAAAGTTCTCATCACACAAACAAAAATAGCCATGTGAGGTGATTGATGTGTTAACCAAACTTATTGTTCCAATTATATTTCACTATATATTCATATCAAACCATTACACTGTACACCTTAAGCTTATATAATCATTTGTGTCAAATTACACCTCAATGAAGTTGGAGGAAAAAGAAACGAAGAAAATATTTTGTTATTTACATGAAATGTTCATTTCTGCTTAAATTTTTTTCAGTTCCTTTACACAGGCCTCTTGAGAATAGCTGTCCTAACAGTGAGACAGAACTAACTACAAATCAGCAGATGTCACTCCTTAACTGATCCTCAACTGCCCTCCCTTGTCAATTTCAATTGGTTATTATTTTTTCTGCACATTTCAACTGCCTTTTCCCCATTACCAATTTCATTTTCCATTTTCAACCTCTAAGGAGCCTCCAAAATCCACTGGGGCTAATATTTTTTCACATTGCCTGCATAAGGACCCAGATGAAACGTAAGTGTTCTTTTTGAATCTCAACACAAATATATGTAAGGTTTACAGTAGCCAACTGGAACATGTTTCTACTCTGTGGCTATCCCTTTGTAGGAGAGATAAAACTGTTCAGTATATTTTTTTCTGATGAAAGGCACAGTTTTAGTACATGGGACAAGCACTGGTAAAAATTTGCTACTGTTTCAACAACACTGGGTAGACATTGATTATCTACCAAGAACCAAGCGCTGTTGTGGGGGGAGATTCAACAGCTATAAAACATAACTGCTTTTTTGCCTCCATGGTTCTTATATTCAAGACTGACAGAACAACAAAAAATTATAATATACACTAGGTTGATGGTGATAGGTACTCTGGGAGAAAAAAGTACGATAGAGAATGGGAAATGCCAGAGGGGTGCTTACAGTCTTAAAAAGGGCTTTCCAGTTGGGACATCTGAGTAAAAACCTGATAACAAGGGAGCAAACCATGTGGGTATCTGGCAAGGACTTCTTGGGCAGAGGGAACACCTAGTGCAAAGGCGCACGTAGGCTGTCACAAGCAGTAAAGAGTTTTACGCTAAGCATCTGCCAGGGACAAAAATCCAGGCAAGGCTTTTGTTATTGCTATAAAGAATCCACCTACAGGAGAGTTTGATCAGCTTAAGATGAACATGAGTGCAGATCTGTTTAGTGTTCTCTCTCAGCCATGACCTCATCGCTAATTCTGACAGCCTGGGCCTTGGATGTGCAGTCAGGCAAACCTGGATGAAGCTAGAAGGGGGAGGTTTTGGTAGCTGTGTAGCCCCGATAGTTCTTCATCTCTCTCTCTATATTAATACTAATCATAATCTACATTTAATCATATGTAGTCACTGACACCAAGTTTTAACTTAACTTAAAATATAGTCCATGACCATATATGAACTAAGAAGTGAACATAATAGAATTCTACCTCAGATTAGCTACCGCAGACAGCCAGAACATAGGGCTATTGAGAACAAAAGGTTATTTCCCATGATGCCAAGTGCATTTTCAATGTTGTCTTCTTCTAGTCAGAACAACATAGTAAAGAGGTCTTTATGAGTAACACTAAGTCTTATATAGAATTTCCAGAGATTGTTACACTTATATACAACAGAGATAATCTTCACTGGGTCTATCCATTCCATAGGCTAGCATAATAGTCTAAAAATTCTCTTCTAGCACAGCAAGCCACATCTCCTTCTAAGGGGTTTCCAATTTACTGAGGAGAACGTTTTCCTAAAGCTTCTTTTACATCCTTGGAGGCCACTCCCACCCTCACTAAGAATAAAATGTTATTAAGAACTGAATAAGTGGACATTTGAAAGCTGCTAGGTTGTTTGTTTTGGCTCATCTTTGATTTGTTTGGACATTGAATTCTTTACACGTGAAGATCAGTATTTGTCTCATGAGTATAAAGGTTTAAAAGACTACCAAGATTTCTTTAGCAAAGAGAAGGTGCTTGAACATCCAAATAGGTCATGATGACTTATCAGTAACTGAAAATAGTATTTTATGATCACACTAGTTCTCTTTGTGGGTCATTTAGATTTGCTTTAGGTATCTGATTTGAGTTGGCTATGGTAGATTTGAACAAACACAGAAAAAGCCTTTAAATATGGCTAGGTACATTGTTTGAGATCCAAATCAAGTATTGATCATTTTGACTGGCTTGGTATAAATTTAGAATTATTGTAATGTAATGTGTTGAGGTTGTTCCATACTTATATTTAGGAATGGCCAGAGAGGATATTTCTACATCCTGTAGAAATCAAATCAACTATGCTGTAATCAAATCAACAATGTAGAAATTGACCAGCATTTTTTTAACTTTACATATTTTAATATGTAATATGTCAATTCTTATTCTTGATATTGTGAAGAAGTCATTGGAAAGGAGACATTTACCATTCTTTTCCCTCAAAAAAGAACGCAATTTCCTTTCCCCAAGAAAGAATGCAATTAACGTGGAATCTTTAATTTTAGATGGGAAAAGGAACACAATAGGTCAATTAGACCAAATTCAAAAAAGTAGTTTTTACTGTAATTATAATTAAAATATATATTATTCTGATTTTTTATATACATACAGTACACTATAATCACTTGCAGAATTTCTTTTTTAAACTAATGGGAACTTATCTTACAAATGAGATTTGTGAACTCTTGTAAATACTCCCTCCACCAGTCATGTACTCCACAGCTTTAAGCTGTGATGTGCCAGAGCAGAGGCTTACAGACTTAAGTCAGTTCTCCTGGGTTAGATTCTTAGATCCCCATTTACTAGCTGAATAAATCCAGGCAAGAAAATTAGCTTTTTTTGTGTCTATGACAGTAATAGTATCTACCTTGTGGAGTATTGGAGGACTGAATGAGTTAGCACATACAACATTCTTAGAATAGTGGCTGGCACATGGTGAATGTTCAGTAATGTTAGCCATTATTCTCGTGTGTGATAAAGTGAGGAATTATCACTAGTCTTAATGGGATGAAGTACTAGATACAATTCTTGTGCTTTTTATTGCATTTCATTCACTTTTTACAGAACGTAGTATGCTTTCTGGTCTGAGAGCTAGCTGTACAAGGAAGCAGAGAGGGATGGCTCCTTTAAGTGAAACTGACCCCTGCGTATAGTGCCTGAAATTAGAGGAAGCTTGTCAGTGTAGGCAGAGGAGAGAGTAGATCAATCTGACCTCCCACTTTTCTTTTTTAATCTCACGGAAATTAACGGAGGGTATCTCATGCAGATCATTAAATTAACTGTTCCTGCTTAAGGTTTAAAACTTGGTTCCTGTGGAGTAAACTTAGGTTTTTGATAGTCATCCAAAATCCTTGTATCTCTTCAGTTTCATTGCAGAAAAAATACTAAATTTAAACAGTAGATTGTTACATTAAATCGGTATTTATTTCTCCCAAGAGCCATGCTTCTGGAGAAAAGAACAGAGAACCCTCCATTAATGTATCTAGCTGATGGTGTAATGATGTACAATTGTTTGCTAACCCCTGCAATTCAGAGTTATTGTCTTGGAACACAAGATTTGATTATCTCTCTTCCCTACATAACTATAAATGTTAAGATAAACTATAAAAGCATCAATCAGCCCATTGTTCAATTCAGCTCCCAGACATTGCTTCTGATGGCCTACGGTTCTTTTGATCAATTAGTCTACTTGCCACAAAAACTCAGGTTACTAAAATTAAAGGGGAAGGGATGGTTTCTTTTGGTTCCAACTCTAAAACATCTTATCAGAACAGGTGTACTTAAACACAGTAAACTTTATCTTACGTGTCCTCTGTCTCAAACTGTACAATCGGCCCTGGAGGTGGAGCCCTCACAACCTGCTCACCCGAACGGGGGCGTGTCTGTGGGTGTCCGCACCCGCGCAGCACACGCAAAGACCCTCTTTTCTAGGGCAGCCCAATTAAAGTTCCACTCTCACCTGAAAGGCTGTCAACTCTCACGCCCCTCCCTGTGCGCACAGCCTCCTCCTCGCTCTCCCACCCCTTACGCCCCGCCTCCGAAGTAGGATCCCCCACTTTCATTGGTAGGCCCTCCGCTCACTCCTATTCCAAAACCAGTCACTTGAGTTCTGGAGGAGAGCGGCGGAGCCAATGGGAAAGCTTACTGGGGCAGCTGCCGGGTCCCGAGAGCCGGGAGGCGGTGCCGGGAGCGGGATGCTGGCAGGGGATTAGTTGCCTTTTGGAGTGAGGAGCGGGCGGCGGCGGCGGCGGCGGCGGCGGCGTTTGCGGTGGCTAGGGATCCGCGAATAGCCGGACACCTCGAGGCCCTTACCCCAACCCCGGGTCCCAGAAGCAAGGGTCCCGGCCCTCCCTGCAGCTGCCGGGCTCTCCCGCGCTAGCAGCCCGCGCGCTGCGTGATCCGAGCGGTTGCCCCACTCCCCTGTCAGCGCGATGCCCGGGGCGGCGGAGGCTCCGCGTTCCTCGCGGCCCCGGCCGTGACCGCCACACCGAGACCGGCCCGGCAGCTGGGGCCGCTGGACGTTTGTTTTCGCAGCGCACCCCTCCCCCTCGCCGAGGCGGCGGGGGTGCGCGCTGGGGAGGGGGAGCCGGGAGACTCCGCCCCTCCCACACCCCCGCCCCTCCCCCTTACACACTCGCACGCACCGCCGCGCCGGCTCCCACACGCTCGCGCGCCTCCCGCTCCGTGCCTCGGGATCGGCCGCCGCAGTCCCGGGCCCGCGGAGCCACCATGTCCACTGCCTCCTCCTCCAGTTCCTCTCAGACCCCTCATCCTCCGCCGCAGAGGATGCGGCGCGGCGCCGCGGGCTCCCCGCCCGCCGCCCCCGCCGCCGGGAGCGGGAACGGTGCGGGTGGCGGCGGCGCGAGCTGCGCCCCGGCAGCGGGAGCCGGGCGGCTGCTGCAGCCCATCCGCGCCACGGTGCCCTACCAGCTCCTGCGCGGTAGCCAGCACAGTCCCACGCGCCCGCCCGCCGCAGCCGCCGCCGCCTCGCTGGGCAGCCTCCCGGGGCCCGGCGCGGCCCGCGGCCCCAGCCCGCCCAGCCCGACGCCACCGCCGGCCGTAGCCGCGACCGAGCAGGCGCCGCGGGCCAAAGGCCGCCCGCGACGGTCCCCCGAGAGCCACCGGAGGAGCAACTCACCTGAGAGACGGAGTCCCGGCTCGCCGGTGTGCAGAGGTAGCAAGTCCAACCCTTCCGTCCTCGCGGGCTGCGTCTCCCCGACGGTGCCCTCCGTGGAAACTTCAGCCTCTCCGGGCTTCTCTTTCCTAGTGCATTACCGAAGGTGTGAAAGTGGCTTTGGGAATCCCACCTCCCTGCGGTCGCTGCTGGGTTTGGAGGAGCGAACTGCAAAGCAACTTTTATTTGACCCTCCTTCCGCCCCTCTGATTTTATCTTCCATCGCTCGCCTGCATCGAAAGGTTTTTCAGTTTTAAGAGCTGATTAGCTCACTCATGTGCTCGCTTTTTGTAGCAGGGGAAGGAGGAGCTGGGTTGAAAACACTTAAAAAAAAAACACGCACACAAACTGGCAGCCGATAAGGTGGTGGTTGTAATTTCTACAGCCCCTTTGTGCTTCCTACAAAGTTCCTAACGTGTCTGTGACTACCGGGATACACATACCTTTTTCTTTATTGGAGGAGTAGTGGCAGTAGTTTTAATGTAAGGATATCTTGGATGTGTAGAGGGGACAGATTTGGATGTGCCACTGAAGTGTATTGTGTTTTGTTTTCCGGTCTCCCTCTTTTCTCTATATAGTCAAATGCATCAGAGCAGTTCTGCACTGAAAACAGTACTGCCCAACTTAAGATTTTCATGGTAAATTTGTAAAGACCTGTTTGTGGAGTGTACTCACTCTTTCCTTCCATTTTTAAGTACACTTAACAGTTCAGTTGAGCTGTTAAAGGATCTAAAGTTTCTTTTTTGTTAGGTGTCAAAGATAATGGTGATCTGTTGGATGCTGTCGGCTTCCCTTAATGTTTTCTGTTTTGGTTTGGTTTTGTTTATGTCTAGGGACACGGTGCATGATCTAGTGGAGTCCTGGGGGAGAAAAGGAAGATTAGCCAAAACAGGGACTTAAAGCTCATAAGGGAGAGTGGAATAGCTGATATTATTAGATACCAGGCTAGAGCTACAGATGCTGCTCCTGCATTGTGGAGAGAATCGGTTATACCGAGTGGAAAAATCTCCGCTTGGAAGGGAGCTCTGTACAGTGTTTATGTGGTATGTGGAATTTTTTTTAATGGAATTCTCTTGATGAAGGTCTTAGACTTGGAGAAAGTGATTGTGTTATGATAGGTTGCTGTTTTAGTGTTTTGTTTTAATATTTCTGACCTGTAATTAGTGTGTTACTAAGGCACTTGTTTTCAGACCACTTGATGGTGAGGCAGGGTGAGATGTAGTGCAGTGGCATGTGTACATGAACACCAAGAAATGCATCCTGTAATCTGTATGCACCAGGAGGAATTTGCTCCCCCACTCCTCCCCCAGGTCATGCCAGCTGCTGCAGAAACTGACATCCTCCAGCAAATCCTGAATGAATGAATGAAAACAACGTGATTGCCCTAATAATGACCACAACTGAACACACATATCTTTGGCTGTATTTTATAGAAAAGGCCACTATTTTCTAACAGATTAATGCCATATGCAACTCCCTTGCATATTTTCTGGAGCTATGTGAAATGAGAGGTAACAGAAGGAAAAGAAGGCAGCAGTTAGATGAATTTTTGAATGATTTAGCTTCAACAGCGCATAGATTGAGTTTTGGGATTTTCTTTTAGGAACTAATATAAGAGCTAGAAAATAAGCATTGCAGAGAGATTATATACAGAGGGTTTTGTGGGCAGAGTAAGAGTAGTTTTAGCAATTGCTGCAACAATATAATGGCCATCTAGTACCTCCTCCTCTTTTGTTGATAAACACTAACATCTTACAACAGATTATAGTACAACTTGTTTTTCTGCATCTTTCAAAAGGCCTAATCGTTTAGGAATTACATGGTCCATCATCAGGTAGTTTTAATTAAATTTGTAATCAGGCTTACACTGTCCTCTTTGTTGTAGTAGGGCACATCCGAGTTTAATGCAATTTTAATGCAACCATGATGAAAACACTTTTCTGAGTCTGGTTGTGCAGCAGACAGATTTGCATCATCAGAGCTTGCATTGGAAAGGGAAGAGGCTTTTCTGCTCTTTTCAACACCAGGTGGTTTTGTCAGTTTTCTTGCGTTTTAGAGATTTTGAAGAAGGCAGGCTCTTCTGCCTCCATTCCCTGATTACATTACCTTTATGTTACTTCACATCCTGCCTTGCTTCTCTCTACCGAAATTAAAACTGTACAACTAACCTATTCTGTTTACTTAGCCATTTAAAATCCGTTCTATGTACAGTTGAACAATTTTTCAAAAGATTATCTACTCAGTTTCATTTGAATTCTGCAAGGTTCTGACTTCAGTGGATTTTAGCCTCCACAGGTCAAGGCTCCCGCCGCCGCTGCTGCAGACACTGACATCACTATACTGCATGAATGAAAAACAACGACGTGCTCCATTTCTTGCTCTCCACCTCCTCCCTTTTCTGCACACTCCTGTGTGTATGTGTGTTTGTTTAAGAAGGTGCTATGCTGCATTTGAAACTACATTTAAAAATCCTCAGTTAAGATTGTGGCTCAAGGGATATTTATTAGTATAGAGGCATATTGTTTACAAAAAGCTTCAAGTGCTGTGAGCATTTGGGCTAGAGGTGACATAACTGAGAATTCTGTATTTTTTATCTGGACTTTTATCTATGGTGTTCATGGAAGAAAATGTAGGAGCTTTAAACAATATTCTTAGTAATTGTTCTACCAAGAAGAAATGACACAATATAATTTCTAAACATGTTAGATCATTGTTATTCCCCTCTTAAACAGTTGCATTTGTAATATGTATATTTACAAGGTTAAGTCTAGAGTAATAAATGATATTCACAAGGCTGAGGAAAAGCTGAATTTTGAAAATAGTCACATCAATTTTAATGTATTATAAAATCCAGCAAGAAGATGGTAATTTCCTTCATTTTGGTAGCATAGTTTTAGATAATTTAAACGGGTATCATAACAAGATACATAAATCTCCAAACACTTCGCTCTATAAAGAGGACATGGAGTTTTACAAATTGAAACTATCTTGCTTATGTATATGGATCATATTTTTGTTAGTATTTTAAAAATTATTTTGTAATTTTAAAACTTAAAGGATTGCTATCTACATTCATTTCTTTACTTGTCACTCTCCCCCTTGTTTGGTTCTGAAGGGTCTTGAAGTGGTGAATGACAAGCTGCTGAATGCATCCACAGGCTCCCTGTGATGTGTTTGTAATAGATGTAAAATCATAAAGTATTATGCAAATAGTTTTTTTGTAATGGTAATACACCAAGTCTACCTTTGAGATAAGTAAAACTACTTAAAAGGGAATATAGAATAATGTTAGTGTTAAAATTAATGATCTTTAAGTGAAAATCAGGAGTAACAACCAAAAGAAAATTATAATAGAGTTGCTTCTTTCTGAAACCTCACAGAGCAAAGCCTATTGATTTAAAAACAAAACAAATACTCATAATTTTACTGTGCATGATAGTAAGTATCAATTGGAAATCCTCTTGTTTTATTTTTTTGGTAAATATTGAGCATGAGGATGAGTTACAAATTCTAAAAGATATAAAAAACAGTTGCATTAGAATACTCTGGATGGAGAATACTGCTCATTTTTAAATGTACCAAATCTAGTAACATGGAAGAGCTTGTAATTTATTGGCTCCTGCATTGATTCCTGATTTAACATAACAGATTTATTTCAGACTAATATTCTTAACAGATTATTAACTCTGGAGTGAAATTTGATTAGAAGTTTTCATAAGTATCTTGAGAGCCTTATTTTATACATTAAGAAGTAATTACTATATTTTAAAAGAAAATACAAAGCCAGCCAGCATATGTTGAATTGACTATAGTATGTGTGTGTGTGTGTGTGTGTGTGTGTGTGTGTGTGTGTGTTTAATCAATTAATTTTCTTTCAGTTTATCTTTTCATTAAATTTCCCTTTTTGAATCATCTTCATGCTGTGCTTAGTATGTGGAATGCCAACATTTTTAATTACTTTTTCTTTTTAAAGATACCCAGACATTCTCTTCCTATAAAGTTACATCTCACAATAATATTCTTGGAAATAAAGGTCCTTTTCCTCCCCCACTCCCCTTTGAAAATTTCCTTAGATAAGCTTATTTCAGAGCTTTCCTATAATAGAGTGAAAATAGTTAAAAGTTTTGGCTTTTTTCCCCTAAAGTGACAGGTTTCAAATACTGATTTTGGGGAAAGGTTTTCAGCCTTTGAGAACTGCACTAAGTATCAGCAATGTTCACTAATTATGTATTTAATTTTTCCCATCAGTTATGGTCTGTAAAATGTCTAGATCAGTGGATAAGTAGCAAAATAGAGAAGTGAATTTAGAGACATCATTTATTCTTTAACTACTATCTTATGTTCAAAGATTATATTCCTCTCAAATAATTATTTCTCTAGGCATATTGAACATCATATATCTAAGATATTCAAAATCACTTTGGTCAGTTTAGCTGTATGTAAAGTTTTGTGTGTATATATTGAACTAAAAATTATTTCATTATTTACAGTAATTTTTTATGGGAGGACACTTCATTCACCACAGTGTTTCTTCAAGGTTTTAGTACAAATTAGTTAACACTGAGGAAACATTAAAGGTCATTGGCATCCTTGTGATTTTTATTTTCTGATAATGAGGACTAAATGTGAATTAAGAAAACAAAGGAGTAATTGAGCTCCATGGCAATAAATAACATTGGAAATAAATGGCAATGTTTGACAAATGACCAATAGGAGAAGATTTTACTTAAGTCTGAAATTTTTTAAATTTCTGAAAATCTGAATTATCAAACCTCCATATAGTTAATAATCTGTCAAGGAATCTATACTAATGGCTTTGTTGCTCTTACATTTAGTTCAGTCTTTTCTCTAGAGCTTTAGGTTCCCAGATATCATCCATGTGGACATTCCCAAAGCACCTATCTTTGATCAGTGCCTGCTGGTAGTGTCTTTTGTCTTTAATATATAATTTTGTTCTGTTATTAAATGTCAGAGAAACCAAATCAACAATGCTTTTTCTATCCTATATATGTTTATTTTAACAAGAGGTTGAGCTTATATAGCTGATGATGGTCCCTACCTGAGTTTGCCACAAG